AAATCAGCAATACAACTACATGGACAGTGCTCTTTCTGGTTTTATCAAAAAGTTCAACAAAATCTTTGTCCCTCGTTGCTGAATTGTTGTGCTCAGAGACGTGCTGCTCTAAGCTCGGTTCGGCGAGGCTAGAGCTTGTTTAGTTTAAGACTCAAAAATAGGACCATTTTTGTATAGTTCTCTATAGCTCGGCTAGTTAAGGCTCAAGTTCGGTTCGTTAATTTTGATAAACGAGCTCGACTCGGCTCGATAACGACTCGAGCTGGAGCTTGGATTTGGCTTGTTTACACCTCTACTGCTACTGTAAATGCTCACCATGAATGCGAATTGTACACACAGTTAAGTTACTCTCAATTTTCATATTCCAGGTGATGCCAAGAATTGTAGCTCCCCAGAAGCAGTCGACAAAGTAAGGCAGCATATCATTGCACAAATCGATCTTTGGTTGTCCGAGTGTCAGAATTCAGGCAGAAGTTCCATGTAATGACAAAAACAAAATAAAATTTAAAGTATATTACTGAACTTGATTCGACTGACGCCAATCATAACAAGTTCAGGTGATGTGTAAGGTTGTATGGTTAGGTTTTAAGGTAAAAAAATAAAAATAGTTAACGCTTATCTTCGTAAGCTATTTTGTATTATATTGCAACTCACATTGTATGAAAACTGAGACAATCAAGACTATTGCATAGATCACATTTTAGTTATTCTTCATAACAATCTGTGCAATTGGGAAATTTCAATTTGAATACCAAATGCTAATATGGTATATTTCAGGTTTATAACCAAACTTTTGGGAACTTATGGTGTGATTTGATATGTTTTGCTATGCAGCCATCGGATGGCTCAACTATATTCTTTTCATTACACCAACTTTAATTATTATATTTTATTTTTATTCATATCTGTTTATAATTTTAAATCTATTTCAATGCTCCACTTTTTAAAATGGATTTTTTCCCCTTGTTGAATATACTTTCAAGGTTCCGATCCTTTCGGCATACTAAAAATTAAAATTAAACCCTTATATAGAGAAACATACAAAATATAGTAATATATATTTTCATAATATAAAAAAAAAAAATCAATTCATAATTTATCACATACTATAATTTATAAACTTTATAATATGAGAAATAAATTTACTTTAGCTGTTCATTTCTATCATAACATTTTGACTAAGACATGACTATTAATGTAAATTAATGATTACATAGATGGGCAACCAAATGGCCACACCCTAAAATGTGTTCTTTCGGGACCAATTGACTCACGAATCACGACTCACTCCTCCACCTAGTTTATATGTATATAAATGCAAGCAAATTATTTAGTAAAAATATACTATTTTCCCCTTTTTTTCATTACAATCATTTATATTATTTATTTATTTTTTGTTTATTTTACAAAAAAAAAAAAAAGAAACTGTAATATTCTTAATCAATGACAATTGACAACATACTACATTTTTTATTATTATTATTTGTAAAAATTTTGTAATGGTCTTAATCAATGGAAGCATATTGATATGTGATATGTGATACCTAACGAAGTAAACCGGTCGACCAGGCCGAACGAACCGTCTGGTCGATCGGAATCATAGTAAGACCGGTGGTGGTCGAACAACATAAATTCAAGATAAACAGTCTTCAATCTGGGGGACAAAGTAAGGGGTTCAGATGACAGTAACAAGTCGAGCTAGGGACCTAGGGTCCTCGGTTAGCCTGATGGAACTCGACCTGTAGGAATGGTTGGTCATAGGATCGACCAGAGGATTCTACATTCAACCCAAAGCAGTCGAAACTCTAACCCAGCAGACTTCGACCTGAGTATTTTACCATGAGGTCTAATCACTGGGGATTGAAGGGATAAAAATGAATCTCATGGTAGTTAATACTGCACATGGGGCACAAACACGTGACACTACCTGATTGGTCCACGCCTCATAACGGCTCTGACATTATTAGCAGAGATGTTGTACTATCGGGCAGCTTAGGCAGCCAACTCATCATATTTGGGTAGTTTATATAAGCAGGTACCTCAACCCTATAAATAGGGGTGAGATGTGCTATTTAAGGCATGACATTCTATATACATTACATTTTCTAAAAATTATCTCCTGCACACTCATTTAAACATTGGAAGCTCTTCATAAAAAAACCTCTCCAGAGTTTTTGCAGGTCTAAGGCGTTCAACCAGCGATGAAGCACGTGAGCTAGCCGATTACAGCCGGTCGAGGGTCTTTACCTATCACATACTTAACCAATTTACAACATAATTATCAACTGTTTCGATTATAATTTTAAGCGAATTTAAGCTAAACCATTATACCATTACTAGTTTAAAATACAAATTCCTATTAATATAAGTTGACCTAAACCAATTTTGATTTTTTTTTTTAATGCTTACCCCTTAAATTTCCATATACAATTGCTATAATAATAATTTCAATATTGTTTTATTAAAATCGACAAATAATCTAAAAATTACGTCATTACAACCAATATAAAATATCATATGCTAAATCAAATAATTTATATTTTATATCATTCATTTTGATCAATAATAAAAATACAAAATGTGATAGCTCGTTATTTAATTTATGATTTTAAGGATCTCATATATTCAAATAGCTTATAAAATTTTATTTATATATGCTCATAATGAAATACTAGTTGCTTTCATCAAAACATCTATACTTATATTAAAAGCCATACTATTTACCAAAAATAGAAGAAAAAAAAAGTCAACTCACATTTAATGCATACTTTATTTAGAAATTTTTTATTATATGCATTAACTGCTTGCATATATACATTTCATATTCAAATATGATCAAAAAGATTCTTTCCTTAAATAATTTTATTAACTTCTGCAATGATTTTACTGATATATATTATAATTCATATTTGTCGATAGTATTTTTTGAATTTTATTTGAGTATATAAAAAACAATTTTTTTTTTTAAATTAATATTTTATTCATCATTTAAGAGATAATGATCACATCATTAAATGATATTATTGATGGCTAGATAATAAATTAAAATACATTAATTATTCTTTAAAATTTTGGCATGTTATTTATTTGTATCTATACGCAACTCGTGCGATGCACGGACAATATTTATTTTGGTAAAGGTTATAAATGAAAGGTTATTGATCAATAAGTTATAATACGTAGAACATTTGTCAAGTAATCATAAAAAAATTGTCATGAAAAAGTCATTCATTATTAAAAACCTCCTTATACACAACATTATTAGTTTGATTGTCGGGCAACTCATCGTCCTCATAAACTAATACTTTCAACCCCTTCATATCAGTTACACACAAAACAACAGTATATAACTGGCCATGACTAAATATCAATTTTTTAAGAGCATGTCAAAATGAGAAAATATACGACTCTGACTCTTGTTTATGGTCATTGTATATAAAATCATAAGGGGAACTGCCTACGCTGGAACGTAAACGGAAACCTAACATCGGAAGGTATCATATTTATTCGAGGAATCAACACATTCTCACCTTCATGATCTCCCAGTCAATATCTTACATCAAGCACATGAGTAGAGAACTTGGTAACAACCAAGCGTGTTCCATTGCACAATCCTATAAAATGGTCCACGTTCCTTAATAACATGATTGGAGTTCCATTTTTCGAATGCAATTCATGATTCGGTGTTCCTGAAAACTTGATGCTATTCAAGAACTCGAAAGTGTGGAGATTTTGCCCAAAACAAAAAAAAAAAGTCATTATTCGAGTGAGACTTCCACATAATGTCAGAGCTCAAATACATACAACCTTCGTCAGAATTCATCTCCGACATGTATTAATTGATAGACTCAACGACCTCCAAAGTAGGTGCTAATAGAGCACTATCATTCAAATATCTTGAATTGTCAGTTGTATTCTTGAACATTGAATAGGTACTTTTCACGATTGTAGCAATTGGATCATCGAAGGGTACTAGTCTTGTAACATCTAGAGTGTTAATGTAGGTACAACCATCGTTTGATCCTCCTACAGGCCCATCTCCAATGCTAACATTCCAATCAGTAAACGTTGCTACCTTGTCACGCTCGTCCGAATCAGAAATGTTCTGAAGACGCATGTGTTTTGAAAGTCACAACACAGTACAATCCCTCCAAATGGTGGAAGCATTAATAGGTGTATTCACAATATCCTAACAATTCCCCTTTGAAATGACTGAAAGTATTTGTCAGAAGTCTCCACAAATAAATAACGAAATGAAAGTGAAAAGATAAAAGAAACAATAAACAATATTATACCTCAATATTACTAAAAATAATTTTTATGATGTTATGATAAGAATTAGGAAATTTACTCTCAAACATGCGAACCACTCGAAGTTGCAACATAACTCTCTTTTCTCCTTCAATTTCCTCGATAAGACCGAAAGTTTGATCTATTTATTGTTTGGCACTTACTATGATTTCACTAATTACTCGTATGTTCGTCAATGGTGATTTTTTATGTGGGGTTGATATGATACTTATATGCATAATAATCATTTTAACAACAAATAATATGGAAATAAAATTACATTGAACGTTAATGGTGATTATTATTCATAATGTATATTTTTTTCACGTGTTAATGGTGATTATTTTGCGTATCATCAAAATTGTATATTATTTTCACGCGTTGTGTATTACGTTTTTTATTGGAAAGACTGAGAATGCTGTAGTTATTTATATTGCACTTTATATCTTATTTTTATATATAAAAAACTATAAAATTTCAAATAGTGAATATAACATGTCTAATACCATTGAATGCTGATGGTGATTTTTATTCATATTGTATATTTTTTTTCACGTGAATGCTAATTGTGTATCATTAAAATTGCGTATTTTTTCACGCGTTGTTTATTACGTTTTTTATTGGAAAGACTGAAAATGTTGTAGTTGTTTATATTGCACTTTTTATAACTTATTTTTATTAAAAAAAAACTATAAAATTTCAAATTGTGAATATAACATGTCTAATAACATTGATGATTTAAAGTTTGTCTGCAAATAAAAATAAAAAATAAATATTGCCCATTTGTAAAATGTGATTTCAATTTTAATCAATAATTTATAAAATCTGATAGATAGAAAAAATTACACTCAACAGAATTATTTAATACAAACCGTGATTTTATAAAATTATTTGATAAAACGAATTTAATTTTTAATAAGTAATTTTATAAAATCTGATAGATATAAAAGATATTAGTCGAGAAAATCATTTTCATAAAAACCGAGATTTTATGAAATTTTTAAATTAATTGAAAACGTATACAACAACAAAGGATCCAAGAATCTAAATAAAAATGATTTGACAATATCACTGATTTTTTAAAATATGTTGATATGAAGATAAAATACCCAACATCTAGCATAAAAAGTGGATCATGATAAATTAAAATAATTTGAGTGTAAATAAATTGGTATGTATAAAATAAATCGCTATATATATGCTAACAGAATATTGCATGCACTATTAAATCCGCTAACAAATATGCTATAACAGAATATATCTAACGGAATATTTAAATACAATCCGGATTCCATTTTAATAGGAAACTATAATAATGTAATTAATATAGTTTTATTTAAAATAGATTCTAAAATTACCATATTTAGTGTGTAATTAATGTTTTTTGCAGGAAAGACTTTCTAAAAGTGAATTATGTTAATCCTTATTATATATTAATAGATAGATTATATAAGGTATCCTATTTACCAAATTTAGTAAATTGAAAAGTCAATGTAATTAATGCATTGCTATTTCTATCCAGAATTTTATTTAATTATTTTATATATTTGTATTATATCCCATAAAATCAGTTTAAGAAAAAAAATTGCATAACATATGACAAGTAAAAAAAACGTAAAATCTTTACTAAAATAAAAAGACTTTATTTATTTGTCTTATTCCATATTAACATTGATTTTGTCAAAATAAATCCCGTAAAATCAGTGAAGTCAAAATTTGTACGTAAAGTCTATCTATAAAAAAAAAATCAGATTCAAAATTCATTATCTAATTTCTTCTTTTTCTTATCTAATTCCTTATTTTCCTTATCTAATTCCTTTTTATTATCTAATTGTATGAAAAGCTGTTCTGATTTTGTTCAATCCTCTTATTGTATTTGTATTATATTCCATAAAATCAGTTTAACAAAAAAAGAATCCCATAACATCCGATAAGTAAAAAAACAAAGTACGTAAAATCTTTACTAAAATAAAAAGGTTTTATTTATTATCTAATTGTATGGAAATTTGTTCTGATTTTATGGTACGTACTACAAATTGTGCACCCGTGTTCAGGAGCTACTTAACGGGTAAGCTCTGTGGAAATGACTCATTTAGTGCTTCTATCCTGTGCATACGGTATGTATTTTTATTACACATACTAGAAAATTGTGCACCCCGTGCATCGCACGGGCTCTGTACTAATAAATGACCTTAAAATTGTGCACCCCGTGCATCACCCGTGTTCACATTTTGGCCTATTACAGGTCACGTACTATATATATCTCATACATTTTTTTTATTCATCTATATATATATATATCAAAAGAATTACCATTTACTAAAAATAGTAGCAAAAATCTTAGAAAATTTAATGCATACTATTTTTGGAAATTTTTTAAATATATGCATTAATTGCTTCTATTTACACGTTTTTAAATAAGATCAAATTAAATATGATCAAATAATTACTTAAATAAATTTATTAATATATGCAGTATTTTTATTGATATTTATTATAATAAATTACAAGATTGATTTTCGTGATTCATGTTGATAATATTTTGGTCAAGATAAATATTATTTTATTAATATTTTTAATACTTTCATTGATATTCATTATAATAAATTACAAGATTGATTTTTGTGATACATGTTGATAATATTTTGGTCAAGATAATATTACACAATATTTTAAGTTCTAACCATAATATTAGTTTTTTTTTTCACAGATATTCACTTTTTTATCCAAAAATATTTATGGAAAATCGTAGCAGGTTAGGTAGAATTTTTTTTTCCAAGTAATCAGACAAAATCAAGTTGGTGAATTAATGTTTGCCAATATTTTTGTTTCTTAAGCTTTATTTTGCTAAATATAAAAAATAAATCGTTCTTCAAATTAATATAATTTACCATTTAAGAGCTAATGACCAAATACAATAAATAATTTTACTAATAGTACAAAATTAAAATTGAAACATATTAGCTATTGTTTAGAATATATTTGTATATTATTGGCATTATATTTTTCATTTTTTTTTATTTTGATTTATTTCTATAATTAAATTCTTGCAACATATATTTTCATTGTTGAGTACGCTAAATAAACCATAAATCCTTATAATGTGAATTAGAAAAATCTTGATCGTAGAGGGACGAGTTTTTGGGATTTTCTAAATCAAAACTGTTTAATTAGTATATAAAATTAAATTGTAAAAAAACATGTGTATATTTTGTAAAATATTTATACACTATTTAATATTAAATTTATTTACATATTTTAAATTGATTACATAAATAAATAATACCAACGTGCATTAAATATTTTTTATTACATAAAATAAAAAAAAAAAAGAAGACGTACAACTTCTACAACTTTATAAATAATAATGACATTATATGACATAAAGTGTATAATAAAATAAAAATTAAGTATTACATGGTGAACAAGAATAAGTAAAATTGTTATTCTCTCTTATATCAATGAATAAATATATATACTAAAATCAAATTTAAATTAGGATAAATGTGTTAGTAAAATAATATATTAATTATTTTAATATTTTGACTAAAAAAATAACGCTGATTAAAAGAAGTGCAAAATATATTATAACCTTATTGTTTATTATACTTAACGCTGATTAAAAGAGATGAAAAATAGATGATAATTCTATTGCTTTATATATTCAAACGAACAAATTAAGCATGTGAAAATAACTCATTTAATATTTATGTCTCGTGCATCGCACGGGGTACGTACTAGTTTATATAATTATAAGAATGAATAAATGCCCTTAAAATTGTGCACCTAGTGCATCGCACGGCTCTTTTATAATAGGGGCTTTTAGTTTAATATAAATATAAACAAGAAGTACAAAATTCAACCTCCAAAGGATGATAATCAGAAAATAGAAAAAGACTCTTACTTTACTATTTGCAGCTAGCTCAAATCTGCCTTCAAACTCCTCCATAACCAAAAGCTCAGTTGCCTGAGATCCGCCGACCATCTCTCTCTGTTTCGCTATCCATTTCCGATTTTTCACTTCTTTGGGAATTATTCAGCTGAATTTTGTTGGGATCAATGGATTTCGAGTTGGTCTCTTGTGCTATTCGTTGCTGGGAAGCAGTTGGGGGATTCTAGGGTTTTCCGGTGGTTTGTTTCTTTCTAAAATGGAGAATATAGAGACCTTATTAGCTGCTGTGGCTCAGACTCAGGGATTTGACGACGAGGAGAGAGGGTCGGAGCATTCGAAGTCTCCGGCAGTGATTCCGGCCGATACTCCACCGAATGCTACGGCGGATGTGACGCCTCCGGCGTCAAAGGAAGTGGCGCCGGCGGCCGTGCTCGATATTTGCGCTGGAGGGAAGAGGAAGAGAGGGCGGCCGCCCAAGGGGCAGCGGCTACGGGTGAACCCTCGGCCGCCCAAGCGGAATAAAGCGGTGGAGGAGGAGGAGGAGGAAGAGGAAGAGGATGTATGCTTTATCTGCTTCGACGGTGGCTCTCTGGTTCTCTGTGATCGCAAGTGAGTGTTTATATCTGATGTATTGCTACTACATAAATGGAAATCTCCTTGCCTTCTTATGATATAAATGTGTTGTAAATTGCTTCGTTGTCATATGTGGAAGCTGTATAGTAGAAAGGGTAATCGCGCTTGCTAGTCAGATTGTGAGAATTTTTTACTTCACTTCTGATTACTTATTGACTGAAGTTTTTTTATGATTCTCAGAGGATGTCCGAAGGCATATCATCCGGCGTGCATTAAGCGAGACGAAGCGTTTTTTAGATCAAAAACTAAGTGGAACTGCGGTGTGTTGCCTTTTGCTTTCGTAGGAACTTCATGAGTTGTAGTAACTTCCTTTACTTTTATTGATATGCATTTGAATTTTCTTTTGCCATACATCATGCTATTCAATTGTTTTGTCGTGTCTTTCTTTGGGAAACAAATCTAGTAACATTATTTCAGATGGTATGCATAAAACTTTGAATTTTTTGTGTGCCCTGCCTAATGTGTATTTCTTGCATTGATAAACTGTTGTAATAAGTTGTTTCTTCAAAAATAGTTTTTTTTTCCCGGTCTGGCCTTATCCTTTATCATTTTGCAGTAGTGCATTCAGATTTTCTTGATTCTTAATACTTAGAGACAGCAATGCCTGAATAAACATTACCTGGTAAAATACCTTCACGTCATCGATACGTATTATGGTATTATTTTTTTCAGGATGGCACATATGTATTGTATGTCGGAAGGCTTCTTATTATATGTGCTATACTTGCACTTATTCACTGTGCAAGGGATGTATCAAAGACACAGATTACGCGCGTGTCAGAGGAAACAAAGGATTTTGCTCGACCTGCATGAAAACTATCATGCTGATTGAGAATAAAGACCATGCAAACAACGAGGTAGGAAATTGCATCGGTTTCATGCCATCTCATTGAAACAATTGCATGCATGTTGCTATTTCTTCTTGAGCAATATACATTGTTCATTCCCTTTATTTTTGTAGAAGAGCTACTTTCACATCTGTAACGAGCAATAGCTTATTATTTTATTTTAATTTTGCAGTGATCATTATTTTCTGAATGTTTAATATGTTTGTTTGTTTTTATGTTTTGCTTTATCCTTCTGTCCCTTTCTCATTTTCGTTTTTAGTTTTGTATATATGTTCTTCTATCCCCCCTCTTCCCCTCCCGTTTCAATTTTTTCCGCGTTTACAGATTGGCGAGCTTCCTAGAATGTGCTTGTTTAGAAAATCTAGATCATGAATATAGTTTCTCATTAGGCTAAAAAATGCTGGACTGAAACCTTGAGTTGATTTAAGTTGTCTCTTATTCTTTAATTAATTGTCCATTGCAAAATGGAGCTGGAAGAGTCATTGTTGACAATTCTCCTGGCATAGTGCTAATAATGGACTAGATCAAAATGACTCAATTAAATTCTAGTGCTTCTTCTATTAGTGAAGTTTCTAGAAAAAAAAAATATATCAAACAACGCAATGCACCTTGAGTCGCTACGGAAACAGCCTCCTTGTATAATTACAAGGGTAAGGTCTGCGTACAACTGACCCCCTAGACCCCAACCAGTTGGGAATATACTGGGTATGTTGATGTTGATGTTGATGTTTTTCTTTAATTCCATCATTCTTTTGTCTTTTTCATTCATGTAAGAAGAAATCTTTTACTATTTTTAGGAATAAGATGGCATTTGTGTTGTCATACCTGCATCTACTAGAGAAATAGAAACAATAGAAACTACTCCCTGTTTGTCTCTCACTCTCAAGTCCCAACCTTTTACTTAATGAAAAAGTAGGGGTTTAAAAATTATTATTTTTCGTTGCCTGCTACGATAAAATATGCATCTTATTCTGTAGATGCACGCACGATGTGGAAATTGCGGTTGGGACTTGTATTCATCTGTATTCATCTGTATTCATCCCTTAACACATTGTTTTGTGGCATATCTTAACCAGCAGTAACTGTACAAGTCAAGATGGCCTTATATGCTCTCCTCGTCTTTCTATTATATAGCTTTCCCAAACCAATCCAATCGTTTAAGCATTTTTTGGGTGTAATAAGATATTGTGTCATTAGCATGCAGTAGGAAAGAATGAGCCCTGTGGTTAATTTGCATTTATCCAATTGCATTTGCCTATTTGGAATGTTAAGTAGCCTCTGAATACTAACAGGCAAGGGAAAGGGCAGAATATACTGACACTTATGCAGGGAATTTGTGCATTTAGGTCAATAGCTTGTCTGAGTGAATGAAGCTAACTCTCTGGGCTGGGAATTCTCATAAACGTTTTTAGATCAATTAAATTTCTCCGTCGATCATTTGCTTGTAATCCGAAATTAATAAAGTTTTAATCTGGCCTGATATGTCCCTTCTTGCCCTGAAAGCTATGAACCCATGTTGATTGTTCTTGATATTTTTGCGCAGGTTAAGGTAGATTTTGATGACCAGACTAGCTGGGAGTATCTCTTCAAGGTATATTGGGTTATTCTAAAGGAGAAGTTGTCATTGACACTGAACGACCTTACTCGAGCTAACAAAACCCGGAAAGGCATGACTGCTGGAAGTTATATACCCCCGAGAAGTATTTTAATGCCCACTGCAGTTAATGTAGAAGTTCCTAAAGGCTTGACTGCTGGAAATTATATACCCCCGAGAAGTATTTTAATGCCAACTGCAGTTAATGTAGAAGTTCCTGTTACTGACAGTAGTACGGATCCCTTGGAGTTGAAGAAGCCCCAATTAGAGCATAATCTGCCACTACCGAGCGATTCTAACAATATGGAAAAACTTAATAACCGATTTGAGGGAGACGGCCCTGCAAAACCAAGCGTGGAAGAAATCATGCAAGAGACAGGCATCGAGAAGGCCACTGATGAGCCAGGAATGGATAATGATCAAGACAAACTAAATTCTACCAAAGATACTGACAAGTCATGCACATCCAAGGACAAGAATGGTGAGGAATCGGAAAAGCCTGAAGCCGACCATATTACTGAATGGGCAACTAAAAACCTCTTGGGATTTGTTGCACACATGAAGGACGGTGATGTGTCGGCGATGTCGATATTTGAGGTGCAAACATTATTGCTCGACTACATAAATAGAAACAACCTTTGGGATCCTCGTAGAAAGAGTCAGATCAAATGTGACCCAAGGCTCAAAAGTATATTCGGAAAGACTCGAGTCGGTCATGTTGAAATGTTGAAGCTTCTTGAGTCTCACATTCTCATAAAGGGCGATTGTCAGAATAATTCTTCCATTCCGGCTGGGTTTGTGAGTTCTGTTAGAAGTGATAGGGAGGCTGATGAATCAGAAGAAGATAACAAAAGTAGTGATGACAGTAAGAAAGGTACCTAAAAGTGTCTTTCTTTCTATCAAGAAACTTCAATTTCATATTATTTCTCTAATTTGGAGACTAGTGATGCCTCATACTTAATTTTGCAGATGATTATGTGAATACAAGCTATTCAAATTTTCCCCAAAATGCAAGGATAACCATTTCTTCGAATGTAGAAGGTATTTTTTTTTTTTTTTAAATAAAAAATATTTCAGGTAGGGGGTACAGTATTTATTAAAATTTTATTTTATTTATCCTGGAAATTTGAGTAATAGAACCTCCTGAATTGCACCATGTTCAGGTAAAGAAGAAAGTCCCACCCAGGCACAAGTAATCATGAACGAGAAAACAGACCTGGGCGAATCATTTAGTTCGGAAAAATACGCAAATCAAGAAAATATTACTAACTTGACTACCGACAGTACAAATGATCATTACATGCAAAGGTCTGAATTGGAGACCTCGACTCCAACTGCCTCAGTGGGAAACTCGCCGTCTCCCAACGTTACAGATATCGAGAAACTGTGGCATTATCGTGACCCGGACGGCAAGATCCACGGACCATTTTCCATGCTGCAACTGCGTGAGTGCAGCACGACTGGACTGTACGCGCCCGATATGAGGATATGGTCAAATCACGAGCAATATGACTCAGTATTTCTCACCGACGCCTTGAACGGGAGATTTCATGGAGCATCTGATTCTTCAAACTCGGGCTCACGAGAGGAAGAAGGGGCTACCGGGAATATCAATACAATAAGCGAGGGTATAAATGTCAGTTACGAGGATATTAGAAACGTTGACACACCTTGTAATGATGCGAGTGTTTCGTCCGCTAATGATGCTGGAGCTGTGGTGGGAGCAGATAGGTCCAACTCTTGGCCACGGTGTTGGGATTTTCTGAAGGATAATAGTAATAATGCTGATGTTAATAATGATGTTCAAGCACATAATTTGCTTCCTCCATCGAGACTTGAGGAAAAACACGAAGCTCTGAGAGATTGTGGTCAAGAGAGTGAAAATCTTCACCACCATGATTCACGGCATGGAGAAGAGGAAATTAATTCAACCGGGTCCGCTCAAAACCCAATCTCCAGTGGATGTGAAGCTCCTGTGGTTCTACCTGCCGAAGAACAAGTGAGATCTTTCAATATTGATCTGAGCTCAAACGATGTGGGATTGTCAAAATCACTTGTTTCAAACAAACAGGTCGATAATATGTCCATTTTGGATTTCCCTAGTCCTGCAGGCCCAAACACAGATTCCCCAGCCCAACATACTGGATTCCTGGAGCTACTGGGACCTGCATCGAGATCCGACGACCAAGACCACCACACATCCGAGACCAATCCTGGTTTCGTAAATCTTCCCATCCAAATCTCGGAAATGGTCGACGAGTTGTGCGAACTACCGTTTACATTCTCTTTGAAACCCCCGGAAGCGGCCACCTCAGCTCCCGAGCTCCCGTCACCCCCCACCAACCCCCCACCGAGCATGCCCGGCTGGCTGGCAAGCGCGAACGAACCCATCGAGTTCGACGCCCTTGGCGAGGAGTCGGTCTCAGACCTTCTTGCAGAGGTTGACGCGATGGAGTCTCAAGGGGCCCCACACTCGCCCTCGGCCGCCATCAAGTTCGCCCGCGAGTTCCTCGAGGATTGCAGGGACGACTGCTTCAGCTCGATCGAGGAGTTCGGCTCGAAAAACGACGCCTTGACTCGGCCCGATCCCGTCTCGGCCGCAAGCAGCGAGGGGGAGACGAATGCTGCACCACCGGGTGCAGGTGTGGCGGGCCCCAGTTCTGCCCCACCTCCGGACATATGTGTGGACCCTGGGTGGGGGGCGGTGCAGGGGCACATCAACCTGGTAACTGTACAAGGGAATGTGAACCTTGTCCTGGGAGGGCCCGCGGGCTGGGGGACGGGCCTGGGCTCGGGATGGGTGAGTCCGGGCCTGGGACACGGGCCGGTTGGTGCCGGGAGCCTGCCCTGGGATGGGCAGCGGAAGTACCAAGGGGGCTGGGAGAGGTTCGGGAGCCCCAGAGAGTGGGCCGGGGGATACCAAGGGGGGCGGGCCCCGTGGGGGAGGGGAATGGGGGGGTATCCGAGGTCTTTGCCCAAGGGGCAGCGGGTGTGTAAATTCTATGAGAGCGGTCATTGCAAGAAGGGGGCGTTTTGCGATTACCTGCATCATCCCTGACGGGAGGATTCAGTCTGGTGGTGCCGGATATTTGGTTCGTTGCAGGTAACAAAAAAAATAATATTATTTTTTTGTATAATTATTTGAATTGGTAAATCTTTTTTTTTTTTTTTTTTATGTGTTTGAATTTGTAGGGTGGTGTTAGTTTTTGACTGGAAATATATTGGGATAATATTGTTGGAACAATTTGAGATGTTATCTTGGATACTGTTTGCATGTTGGTATCATTCATGCTGTTGTAGTAGTTATGGTCCTTATGGAAGTGAATTTGTGCCTTTTAGAAGAGTGCTGTTGGAGAAGGAATTAGTTTGGAGCTCTCCTCTCTTCATGTGTTTCTGCTATTTAAATGTCTAATTTCTCATTTAAATGCACAAACAGATGAGACTCACTTCTGCTATCCACAGATTTTCCACTTAGATGATTTATACTTCGCAGTGTTTACATAGATCTTTTCAGAGTTATAATTTTTGCCATTTAAATTATCATGAACAGTCGATGCTTTATAATTTTTGTCGAGTTATAATTTTTGACTTAGGCTCTCGAGCTAACCGCTCGAGGTTCTTTCTTTTGACTTAGTCCCTCGAGCTAACCGCTCGAAGTTCTTTCTCTTTTGACTTAGGCCCTCGAGCTAACCGCTCGAGGTTCTTCCTCTTTTGACTTGGGCCCTCGAGCTAACCGCTAGAGGTTCTGCCTTATTTGACTTAGGCCCTCAAGCTAACCGCTCGAGGTTCTGACTTCTTTGACCTAAAGCCCCCTGAACTAATTGCTCACGGTCCTTTCGTGAAGAGCTTATGGTACTCGAGCTACTCCACTCGAGGTTCTGTCAACCTTACATTTGTGTCCCTCGAGCTCGCCCGCTCGAGGTTCTGTCAAATTTATGGCCCCCGAGCTCATTTGATCGAGGTTATGTCAAACCTTATGGCCCTCCAACTAAATGGAGAACGTGTAAGGCAAATGTGGACTCCAACTCAACGACACAAAAGTAGGCATCCGTCATTTTCCGCAAAGCCACACACTTCCCCGCCTAACCCAAAAATTTTTTTTACTCTTTTGGTATTTGAAGTTTTTATTAAAATTTCTAAATACTATTTTATTTTATTTTAGTTTTCAGTTTTATTTAAAGTGGACCTCGTTACCTTTAAGATTTGTTTGTTTTATTGTATAATAATTTTTCCAACTTATATCCTATAATAGGCTGATAAATCAATTTAATAATTAATAATTTTATTATTTTAGGATATATTAGAAAATTTGATTTATATTTATAAAGATTGATGTATTTATTTTTGCACGTGCAATACTGATATCAAATTAAAGGTCATCAAAAGATGATTAAATTAATATGTTATATATCAAAACCAATAGCAAATATAATAAAGTTCGTTAAGTTTTATAATATTATTATAATTTAGATTGATAAAATATTTTATAATTATACAAAAATAAATATAGATAAGAGCCCAAATCTACATAGATTAGACCTAAGCACCATATTCTAACACGTAGGCTTCCGAAGTACTACAAGTAGGGTTCAACATGGAACTTGGAAATTTCGAATTGTTTCAAAAGACAAACCTAATTCACTCTTAACTGAAAAATAACTGTTGATTATTTGACTTTTTTCCAACCAAATCGAATCAAAAAAGTAATTGATACGGTGTGAGATATTTTAAAACTATCAGTTCTGAGAACCGAACCAAACTACATCATACCGTACCTACGGAAGAATCAAATTATAACATTAGATGTATCTTGTTCATATACTTTATATCAACTTTAATCATATATTATTTTAGTATTTTTAAAATACTTGACAGTATATAGAAATAATAATTACACTTTCTTTAAATTTTATGCTTAATAATACTACATAATTGTAAAATATATCTATATTACATATGTTCATACTTTTCCTAGTCCTATTCCTTCTTGTAATGAAAATGGTAAGAAAAATTGAAGAAATACTAGCAAAATCATATTCTATTTTATTTGATTTTAAATTTTCATCATTAGTTGCACAAATTTAGTCTTAACTAAAATTTTGAATTACTTCTACATTTTCTAAAGTCGAGCCTATCAAAATTTAAATATCACTAGATACTCATTCAAAAAAATATATATAAAAAATAGTTAGAAAAATCTAAAGCTCCGAGCCGAATCAAACCGAACTGAATCATCCAAATAGTCCTGAACACGGAATCGAGCTATACCCAAAAATAAAATCTCTACACCGAGGTGAACCAATTTTTATACGGTTCCGGAAATATAGTGATCTCCGAATCTCTGAATCGATGCTCACCGTAATCAGAAGTTGACACATTGCTCGGTAAATTATGATTTGTTTGATTTTACTATGAAAATTATAATCACGACTAGGAAATTAATTTTCATGTTATTTACATAAATTGTCTTTCTTAATCATTTACTCACCAGAAAAAAAGTAGGAAAATTTCTTACAAAAGTCAATAGGGATTTTGCCAGTTAAAAAGCTTTTAACTTCCAACAATCAAATAACCTTTTACATCGTTTCGTTTTCTTTGGTTGACCCAACAATCAAATAACTATATATATTGCCGCCTTTGTGGTCCTACCCGACTCGATTCCGGATTAGTCGATTTCCCTGTAAATCCAGAAATCGGAAGATCCATGTACCAAAAAAAAAAAAAATTAACCATATATTGCCAGTTATTTCTTTATTTCAGTTTTTTTACTGATTTTTTAGGTTTTTGTGTTAACTATATTTTATTTTTTTTAAAAAAAAGATTAGTATGATAAGTTGCTAATGAGATTTTAAGTTTGTATTGAAATAATATTTGAAATAAAATTATTAAAATCGATTTGATATAAAAGTGAGAGATAAATGATTAAAAATTAAAAGTAATTAAAATTATGTGAGTTTATGAATATTAAAGTGTGAATGATCGTATGATATTATTTAATTATATTGATAATACCGATGATAGCTGAGTTTAGTTAGATTTTGAAGTGAGATTATTATATATTTTTTGTTTTTTTTTTTTAATTTTTAGAATTTTGATAAACAAACAAGCCCTAGTGTCCTAATTTGACAAAATGTAAATCGACTCGGTCAATTCGCATGGACTCACTTCTAGTGGCGAGTTGGCCCAACCCGGAAGTTGACAAAATTATGATTTGATGGTGTATATCTTCTCATTATAACCGAATTACATCAACTTGTTTTTCTAAAGGATAATCACATTGTATCGAATAATATGTAATACAATTACAAACTTCCCACACTATAAGCACAATTAGATTTCCTCTTTTATTTGTATGTTCCATTTTTTTTTTTTCATTCTTTTCCGTTGGATTAACAACACGTGTAAATAATAAGGGAAAATTTTATCGTAGGGTTTGACTTTTAATTATTGTGTCACAATAATGTCTGAATTTTCAACTTTTGCATTTGAATGTTTCATTTTTAAGTTGTTCTCAATTAAAGACTTACTTTTACATTCTGGTTCTCAATTTAGGACACCAACTAACTTTATATTTTTACATAAATATATAAACTAAAATACTATTATTTTAAAATTTATATTTTAAAGAATTATAAATATCCTTAGTAAAACTATTTTAACTTATTTTTTAATGTTATTTTCATATTTAGATTAAATTTAAGTTAAAATATATTTTTTTAACTTTTGAAATAAATTTCATTAAGCTTTTGATAAATATAAATTATGAAATAATTATCTTATTAGATAATTTTATTAAGATATTTAATAATTTTTTTTTATTATAGGTGCTTAAAAATATTTTTTTTAAAGTATTGTGGTTTACATAATGTGAAAATATCTATTTCCACCCCGTTTTGAAGCTTGTTAAGTTTTTCACACCGCCCAATAAAAAACTAAGTTTTTCTACCTCGGAAAGTGCGAAGGTTATGCGAAAACTGTCGCATATTCATCGCATAACTGTCCATATGCAAAGGTTATGCGAAAAACTATCGCATACCAATTGCATAATTATGCGAAGGTTATGCGAAAACTGTCGCATATTCATCGCATAACTTTCCATATGCGAAGGTTATGCAAAAAACTGTCGCATATCAATTGCATAACTGTGCGAAGGCATTGTGCGATGAATATGCGACAGTTATGCAATTGATATGCGATAGTTATGCGACAGTTTTTTGCATAACCTTCGTATACGGACAGTTATGCGATGAATATGGGACAATTTTCGCATAACCTTCGCACTTTTTGGGGTGAAAAACTTAACTTTTTATTGGGCGGTGTGAAACACTTAATTTGTCTTTGTTATGGGGTGAAAAAGATTTTTTCTCTTACATAATTATGTCAAAATACAAAGTGATTTGGAGCCTTAAATTGAAAAGTATAATGTAAAAGTAAACCTTATTTTGATAATAAGTTAAAAGTAAAACCCTCAATTGAAAAAGTTAAAAATGTAGACCCTATTATAGCACAACAAAAATTCTATGGAGCCATTGGATGGTTTTCTTATGGAGTCATCCACCACTTAATGTATTGACACATGTCCAAATTGTATTTATTGCAGGACACGTGTCAATATACCATTAGTGAATAAATGTGGATGACTCCATAAGTCGAGTCATCCGATGGCTTCATAGCAAAACTGTATAACACAAAAAATAAGGTCCTGCAATGGAATTTTCTTATGGTTTGTATGTGCTGCCCCAATCTTGGAAAAACATTATCACAATACGAACTTTGAGCATAGGTCTATTAGACCTATTAACTTGTTTGATTAACCCAAATCCTTGATTCATTGTTTTGAATAAAAGACTGATTGAGAATATTTTTTGTTTGCAGGAGGTTGACAGTGAGGAAGATGATGGCTCGATATTTTGAGATTTGTAATTTATAACGGGTAGAGTAGATATATATATTGCTATTAATATTTTTATTAGAAAATCTGAATCAGAATATATATATACGGAAATCGGTTTGAACAAAATCAGAACAAATTTCCATACAATAAGATAATAAATAAAATATTTTTTTTTTTTTTATTTTAGTAAAGATTTCTAGTACTTTTTTTTTACTTATTGGATGTTATGGGTTTTTTTTTTTGTTAAACCGATTTTATGGGATATAATACAAATACAATTAGATGATTGAACAAAATCATAACAGATTTTCATACAATTAGATAATAAGAAGGAATTAGATAAAGAATTTTGAATATGTCTTTTTTTAGTATAGATAGACTTTACGTACAAATTTTGACCATACAATAAGATAATAAATAAAACATTTTTT